GATGGCAGTTGCGCGAATGATTAATGTCTTTGTTATATATACATTCCTTTTTTCATGCTAATCACAAATATTTATAGAGGCACTAAACATCTAATAATGTTGTATTCAATATTGTAATTATACGAGAGACGAAGAAATACTTTGCAAAACACGCGTATATTTATTATCTTATATGACAGAGAGACGATTCAAGGATACGCGTTGCATTTCAACTTGTGTGCATAAGCAGTTCTACTACATATAATACAAAGTTAGTTAATATGCGAGTCTTTACTTCACACTTATCGCCATGTCAGCATTGTGATTAACATACGCATTACATATTGATAATTAGCGTTATTAGGTATTATTATATTTTTTGTTCGCGTCACAATGTAATCATCGGTTCATTTCAGTTTTTACTATGCAAATCGTTCACGTGCGCGTGTTTCTTTTTATCGAGCAGTCGAAACGGAAAAAAAGCGCTCCACGGTGTTGCACAAATCGACGCGAGAAATCGAGAATGCCGCGAGAAAGTACTGCGTATGACATTCGTAAAAGTTTCCGAACACGCGATCGATTTTATCAAATCGCTTATAAATCACGAAACGACGTGAGGTCGCTCTTGTTCCAGTACCGCGATTTCGTATAAATCGCGTATCACACCGGAGCCCGGCAACAAGATCGGATCGGTGGCTGGTTAGTAAGCCGTTAGTCGGAGACACGGGAACCCGTCAGAAAACTAGATGGCAATGTATAAAATTGAAGTTATCTCGAGTCTGGTTTACTCGCGCAGGCTATCCTTCTCTGTCTCCAGCTTTCTTTCCTCCTCTTTCGCCGGCACACGTTCCGCGTCTTTCTCTCGGCTGTAAGTACGATTAACAAATTGCCGCAAAAAGTAATCCCGGGACCTCAGATTTCGATGTTTTATCGTCGTCGTGTGCGCTTGTATCCAATCAAGACTAGATGCAAGCTAGTTGCTATCAGATGAAGCTCGTTACACGATTATAAGAAAGAAGCAATAAAATGTTTACGAGAATATGTGAAAGTTGCGTTAAAACACGATCGTCTTAATTGAAAATAAAAAAAATTTAAACGCAAAGGATTCGATATAATAATGAGGATTGCATCTAATTTGCGCTAATTATATTTTTCTTTTTTTTTTTTGAGGGGAAAGTTCTTGATTAACTTTAAGAGCAAAGTATTATATAAGATTGATTAGAAGTTAGAAGAAACATAGTTATTGTCTCCGTTGATTTAATTTTCTGCCTAATAAAAATTTATGAAATTCTAATTGACGCGATTTTTTATTCCATTTAATCATAATGAGGAACAAAGAGAGTTCAAGATCATAAATCATGACATTAGGTCAGCATTTAATGTTATAAAAAGAAATATTACTCTATTGTTTGATTTCTATCGTAGATCGAATCGTGATAGTAAGCGCTGATTAACTGGGAACTAGCGTGATCTTTTCATAAGAGATTCGCGGTAGAAAAAGCATTTCGTTGCGAGATACTCGGGTGAATCCCTGACTTTTATATGCATATAGTAATTCTTCGATGTGTCATGCGTGGTGCGGCAGTCTTGAGCGCTGGCATAATATTTTCATTTCACGCTGGAGTGCTTCTCTGTCCCATAATATGTCCAGTGAACCCTGCTGAACCCAAAACCACAACCCAGTATGCGTCCAAGTCGCTCTTGGGCCCTCGCTTTTCTTTTATTTCTGTCGTAGGACGTAAGTCACTCGGTGACACTAAGGGACGTACAAAAATTCCGTGATGTACCTCGTCAAAACTTCGTGTTGTACAGGGCGCCGCAATAAATGTCAGTGTGCAGTTTTAAGAGCTGGTATTACGAGGAGATCGCTTCGATGACAATCAAAAACTACACGAGTAGTTTTTCAGCTACTAGCGATCGAAAAGAAGGCAAACGTTGAAATCGCGCTGTCGGCGAAATTAGTATCTCATAATGATTATGACCTGGCAAAGTAGAAACGCCGTTGCCGGAATCTAAAGCCGTTTCCCGGCGGCTCGGTCCGACCTGACAAAAGAGAGGAAGGTTTGCCTGAGCGATGTTTGACTCCTCCTTCATTCGTTCCTTCCCACCTTCGTGAGGGATCGCTTTCGCCTTGCGTACGTACGGGAGTAGTGAACTCCTCTCCTGGCAAGAGGGTACCGGAGCGAAGGCGCACGTACGCACGATGCTATACACGCCTGGGCTCCGGAAGACGGGCCAAGCGCCGTCGACATCCCCCGTCGTCATCGTTCGTTGTCCGCGTCGTCGCCACTTTCAGCTACGACGGGGACCACCTTCTGGGCGCACGAGTGTTTAATAAACCGGTTAAGGCCCGTCCCCGGATCTGTTTGCCTTCGACTTTTGTAACTTTACTAGTGTTGTGACTCGAGTCGGGGCCTACATAAAAAAAAAGGTCCGCGATGGTACCCGAGCAACAGTCCGTGTGTGTCCCGTATCAACACGACGCGCGCCTCTATCGGCGGCCGTACCTTCTACAGAGAAAGAGAGAGAGAGAGAGAGAGAGAGGCGGAGGACGTGGAGGTGGAGAACAGACAGCCTGGTGACGAATTCAAATTTGTCGTCCCGGAGTTAGAATTATCCTTTGATGGGGAAGTTTTATTGCTTAACAGTATAATTACACGAATAAATTTACACTGTCATTTGTAGTTTTTATAAACGTTTAACGCTATAATTATTTTGTAATGCCAATTTTGCAATAATATTTAATATTTATACTTACTTGAATTTATTTGAGATACAAAAAGAGAAAGTTCCATATTTTATTCGCCGTTTAAGAAATTGTATTTATTATCCCGATTGTGCATTATAAAGATATTATTAAAATGCATGAATAGTTATTTGCAGCAAATTAATTGCGAATTAATTCAAGCAATAATTTAACAAGTCGAAGATCTAGGTAAACATGACGGATTAAACAGATAGCAATGAATAAGACTGATTCGAAAGTAGCAACGACGCGGAACAACGATGTATCGTAACTAAAAGAACTTTTAATCTGTAGAAAATGGACATAAATAGATGAGGCTAAATAAATTATTCATTGCAGTAAGTATCACGTGTACCAAGATAAGATAGAAAATATAATCGAAATAACCATTGACATAAATTCTTAGAATTTTTATCGTTTATATGTTTACGCCAAAATATAATTGATAACCATTAATTTCGACAGTTTGTTTTTACGTCTTTGTTTGAAGTCTATATTGCATACATGTTGAATAATGATTTTGTTCCGCTCTACTTTAGTGATAGCGACTTATCGCAGGAATCATATAAATGATTTTGCATCATTTTTCTAATTATAAAAATAATATTACCTGATAAGAGAAAATCAAACAGAGAGCAAATCCTAATCAATAAAGTGGGCGAAGTGTTAACGATAGAGGTCGTAGGTGAGGTAAGCTATTGACATCTATCTTCTTACACATCAATTCCGGGACCGAAGCCAAATAAACACACGAGCAACCTAATCTCATGCACTGACTCAGTTTATCGCTTAGTCACTAATTAGCCAATAAGAACTGTTTGAAGCGCACATGGAGTCGAAAACCTTGACCCTCTGCAAAATCGACTGACATGAGAATATATGTCAGCTGAAAAACTTGTTTTCGCATTAACTGCAAATAAACATTATAGATATAAATGGGAATATTAATAAATATTCTGGAAGAATTTTACTGAAGATTAGGACTGTAAATGAAGCAAAATGTGCATTGTATCAATGCTACATCATTTCCGCAAACCATAATTTTTTTCAGGCTATCAGTCTTTCTACATTACGTGAGAAATGTGTGCATTGTTTTCGCCAGAAAGTAGAGCTTAAACATATTTGTCGTTCGAGCTAAGAATGAAATTAGTATAACAGTTCATGCAATTGCAATGTTAATCAATGTTAATTTTTATTCCAACAAAAGATATTTTTGTATTGTCAAATTTTTTTAGAGTTATTAATTAAAATCGAATAAAATGATCTATAATGTCAACATTAATTAACATGAACTTTAATCTTGCGACAATTATAAAAAAGTATGATGTAATAATTACATTTATATTGGAAATAATTTATGTAGGATAAATTTCCATATTTCATACATATTGGATGAATTTAATTGCAAACTACAATTTATAGCTGCAATTGATTTTTTATGCAAACTCTAGTATATGAATGAAAAATCTGAATCTCTCGCAAACTTGAACTATTTTTTTTTTCTAGCTAGTTTGTTTGCATCGCAATTATAATAAGCAATTATAATTAGCCTGAGACAATGCTTTGCATGATTGTAAATTAGTCGAACGTCATACGTAATTAATGATTATCGTACGAATACCATTATGTCGTAAAAAGGCAATGTGCTTTTTTTCTCTGAGTATTGCAAAATATAAAAAAATTATCTTTGACAGAAACATTTCTATTCGAATGTGACGAGGCATGAGTAAGAAATTAATTTTTTGTCAGAGAGAATAATTATCTGTATGTTGAAATTTTTCTGTTTGCTACAAAATGCGGTTTTATCCTTATTTTCTGACATCCATCTCTTGAAGGAGATTGTTAACCCGATATCAATAATGACGACAAAGAACAGCACGAATGGACAAACGATATTTAACATTGCGCAAATTTCTCGTGTGTCATTGCATTACTGCATATATTTCAGTGAACCTCGTCATCGATAAAGCGAACGTGAATAATTTCTCCCTTCGGTTGCATCGCGGCTTTATATTCTCCTGAAAACGCAATAGAATCTCGCGGAGACGTCAATGCCAGAAGCGAGGTAACATTACGATGCACGTCGGTGATCCGCGAGAGGAGTGACATGACGGCACGCGTCAATGCAGCGTGACAGCCGCGACCCGTTTTCGTCTATGTGTAACAAGTGTTTGCGCGCGGAATACCTCGCCTCTGTCAGAGACGACGGGGGCAAAAAAAAAAGCGAGATAAATATGCATTAGAGAAAGTGGATAGAATTTAGCAATGTACACACACCGCCTTAGTGTGGCGAGGGCGAACGCTCCGATCACCGCCACCTCGCAGATCATCTCTTCCTCGTCCTTCTGCGGGAGAATCCTCGGCTGCTCCGGATGACAGTTCCCGCTCGCATCCACTTGCGCACTCGAGATCCCACCGCGAATCGGCGATCGGTCGCTTCGAAGACGACGTATATTGTCCGCCGTCGCGTTTCGCGAACCGCCACGCGACGATACCGAAGTCCCTCCGGATACCGAAGCCGCGACACCGCGAAACGTAAGTGCACCTGTTTACTACCGTGCGTAATCAAATCAACGTTCGAGTGACATAACAGCGCACCAAGAATCTACACATCGTTAGCGTCCTCGCGCGACGAGCCTCGCGATCGGTCGGTCCGCTCCCGTCGGAAGATCGACGCAACGCGACCGACTGTCCACCCGCGCCACGACTGAAGATCGGGGTAGCTGTGAACGATCGCGCCCGTTGACATTCGAGGGACCAGCGTGCGTCTGATCCAGAGCCCCCTGCGGAGCACCCTTCGGCCCGTTGCGATCTTTTCAGAAGAACCACCGGCGCGGTTGACCATTCGGCTTGCCGATCTCGTGGTGACTGACTGGGTCCCCCAGTTGCGCGACTCCCAGTTACTCACTCGGGCTCACGGACTTACTACTCACTTCGTCCTCTCGCTCTCGCACACTCGCACACTCGCTCACCGGCACTCGGTCCCACCTCCCTCCCTTCTGCCGATGGTTTCCTCCAGCCCCCTTCTGTAGCCCCACCGTGGTTCTCGGTCTACCAATACGTCCTCCCTGTCCTCCCACCTGCGCGCACGCCACCCTCACTGCGCGATCTCCGCGTGGGGAGACGTAATCGGGCTGTGCATTAGACCCCCCGGGTCATGCCGATTTTATTACACGTACGAAATGTCATTAAACGCAGTTTTGCGGTCTCAAGCGATCGTACGATAGGTATTGCGAAGTGCGATTGATAAAAATCATTTGGCATGATCGATCGATGCACGTTAGAGGCGAGAAGGGTCAAATCGGAGATATTAGAACGTAAAATATGAGTATTTAATTTCTCCTGCGTATCGTGAAACGTGAAATAAGCGTAGGAATACTTTCACATATTTGCGAGAGAGTGTAAAATAACAAGAAGATCGTAAATATATTTTGGTGTATAATATTTTACTACATTCGAGGAATTATCTTATAGAAGTGTTAATTGCAATTCAATACTAAGATAATAATAATGACGCGTGGAAAATAGAACGAGGAAAAAGAATGATCTCTTCAAATAGAATTTTTCAGCAGAACATATTGGTTACGTTAATATTGGTTAATTTATTACGCAGATAAAAAAGAATAAATTACAAAATCAAAATGTCAGAGTGATAAATTCTTAGTATCTAAATTACTTAGAAATTTGTTGCAATAAAATCAATATGTAAAAAACCTGAGAAGTGGTAATACCAACCTCATTTATTCAACGCTATTGTTTCCAATTTGCCGAAGGCATTGCAATATAAGATATAATCATTTGGGGAAATAACCGCATCAATATATACGGGAAATCAATTGCAGAACCAGGAAAGTAAGTTTTTGTGTCCAGCACGTGGTTCATAAATTAATGTTTGCGAGGAAGGTGTATATTCTCGACACGTTGATGACTAAGGCTTGTTACATATGTATGTCTGCCAAAGTGCAATACTTAATATGCAATCTGTTTAGTCTAGTCAATGTTTATATTTAACATTGCATTTTTTACTCATTAGAGATAAACGAGTTCAAATGTTGCAAATAAAGTAAACTGACTATACTTAGCTTAAAATATTTTTGCACAAAAGTCTCTCATGCACGCAAATTGTAATAAAAGAGTTTATTGCGTATTTTGTATTCCAGCCGACATATCGCTATGCACATCGAAAGCACCGCGTTACGTTATCGTTTATCATTTCCATTACAATTATACAGCTGCATAATTTCTCGAATAGTTATAAAAATAGTATTAATCGCGATTGCGTAGAGTAAAAGTTTGCAAACAGCGTCCGGTCGGAAGATAACGTATAAGACGAGTTTGATATTTTTATTCTTTTATGAAACGTAGGAGACTTGTGTACATCGCGCTCGCTTGTGATACGTCATTGATAAGATATATCCGCGATTAAAGTCGTTTCAATCGATGTTAATCTCATCAATTTAATTATAAAAGTTACACAAATACAACAGTGTCAAAGAAGTACTTTCCGTTAACTTAAGGTAAAAGAAAAATAAGAGTAATTATATAATAAGCTATGTGAATTTTGTTTCTATTATTGTGAGTAAATTCTTTTTCTATTTTAGTTGATATTCGGAAATACACTCGAATCTTTGCTTTAGTGTTTGTTCGCTCCGATTTGCGGTGAGTCCATCTGACACCTATTGTGTCGAATCACTTTTATTGCACACAAATATTTGCAAGGTGGTGCCGTGCGCCGTGGCCGACGAGAGACCCGCAGCCGGTTCCATTAACGCGTGCAAATTATTCGAATATTATGCGCTACAAATTAGACGGCAGCGCCGAGATGGCCCGCTGCGGGCCACGTCGGTGCCGGTGAATGCCTCGGGATTTTAATTTAACGATGTGCGCGCGGACGCTTAACTCAGGGCCCAGAAACGCGCGAGCTTCCTCGGAGGATCCGAACCATAAGGGGATCGAATTACCGCGCCAATTATGGTGTCACATCGTTAATTGACCGGTAATCCGTTCTACGACGCAGAGACGCGTGCACGCGAAAAATGAGAACTTCGAAATGTGTGTCGTCTCGTTAAAATAGCATTGCGATGTTTGACGCGCGTATTCTTAACGATCTATTTTTAAACATTCCTTCTTTTTAATTATACACGTAAATTTTTTAGTGCAGAAGAAGAAATATATGTTAGCGACATGATAAGTAAGCAAATTGCACATGTAATAGACTGACGCGTATAGCGTACAGCAATGTGTAATCTATATTTAAAGGCGCGAGACGTACGAAGTATACTCGTGATTTTAATTACTGGCAATATTCTTGCAGTTGGAGCTTAACACATTTTATTAACTTGAATTTTAATTTTGTCGGGTTTTGTTACTATATTTACGGACGTATACGTCCGTAAATATAGTAACAAAATATAGTATATATATAAATGCCGAATCATGAATCATGTCGTGCACCTTTATCGCGTATTTACATATATAAAATACCCGCTTATACGCGTGTCAGCGCTTTATCGAAACGGCATCGAAAGCGCGGTTGCATTGATGTTATAAAGTTTTCTGATAAGAATCGATGGCGTCAGGGAAAAATAGTGGTGGGCTTCCCCGAGTTTCTTGGTCTCTGTAAATCGCACCTTTTTAACGTTTCCATTATGTAACGCACATGACGGTTAAAGCTGCAGGCTTTTTCTGAGTAAATGGCGCGCTTTGGTAGGAGAAAATGGAAAATTCTCGCCACGCTTAGCTAACTCCTGAAATCGACCGATCTGTCGACATAACGTACATTTCCGAGTTTAATCCCACTGTCGATAGTAAAGTCGAGTTTTTGCCAATTGCTGGAACGGAAATGCCTTCCACTCTTGCGCTACTTAGTCCTTGGCTCGGTCCACTTATAATTTTTTTTCTGTGTAATATCCACCATCTTTAGCATTACTCGATCTGATGGGTTGGTTCTTGTTACTGACTGTTCGTTTTGATTGGTCGGCTTCGAGTATTACAAGCCGTGCACGCAAATATTACACGTGAGAAAAAGAAAGTAGGAGTGAACATAGCGAGGGACTGTTCTGCTCTGTCGTTTTTAAACTCTCAATCGTTACTTTCTTTATCGAAAAACACGTTTTATCATATTTTTAGAAAACAATTATGATGTATTTATTATTTGCATTGTATAAACAATGTTGTAGCAAAAAGTAATTGTTATAATTTGCGACAAACACATTGCGACAAATTACATTTTATAGCAAGAAAAATGTCATGAGAATCAGATGGTTTATATGTACAGTTGACTTTCCTTTAATCTTTACTTCCTGTAGATATTGCGAACTTGACACTTATTCGGTTCACAATATGATAAGATTATAGAAAAATTTAATCAAAATAATTTGATTCAAATATTTCGTCTCACTGTACTGTCGCATTTGCAATTGTCTTGCGTTTGTTTTGCTTTTATATCGCATGTTTTGTATAGTATTTATGTAAATGTGACGAATACGTGAAGAACAACATGGGAATCGTGCCACTCGCATCAAGCGGGATCGCGATAAAGACGATAGTCGACAGGTAGCCGTCAAGATGGAACAGGCGCCGCGAAGGTGATTCACAGTGATAAGCGTGCATCGCGTAAGTCCGTTTATTCATTCACGCAAAATTGTCCACACAACTCATTCAATATTTGATGTTACTTTATCTATTCTATCTATTCCGTCGCGGTAACCGATTACGTTCCATTACGATTTTTTGTACAATATGACGCAAGTGAAATTATGTTATGACTGCGTAATGCATTGTGCGTCATATGTGACGCGCGTACACGTGGGAGAAAAATGAGTGGAAAAATTGTTGAATGCATTGAGTGCATTCTCTCCTTGTGCAAAATCACTCGCGTAGCTGTTGTCGGCCGTTTTCTCGACCGCGGCATTCCGCGGCTCGTCGCAGAAAAACGAGGGTTGTGTTGTCGAAAGAAACGCCGTTTTGTTCGATGTTCTCGCTTTTCAGATCCAACGCGCGGACAAAGGAACGGCGAAAGATCGCTGGATAAGACTAGTATCGCGCTGCGAACAGTTCGAAGCACCATGGCGTGAACGATTTACCGCAGAAGTATTTGCACCAGTCTGATACGAGATGAGCCGTGAAATTCATCGGTTTCGTTAAAAACAGAAATTAGAAGCGTCAGTCGCGAAGTGCCGCTATTAATGGCGTAGTAAGAAGCAATCTGTGCTTTTTCCGCGTTCAGCTTGCCGCAATAATGCACAGTGTATCGCGATTTAAATAAGAACGAAAATGAGGAAGCTTTTGTTTAGCGAATCACGACTTTTCTTATCGACAACATTTATCATTGTAAGCAAGCGAGACTAGTGATACCATTAAGATGCGATTATCAATTATGATAGTAGAGAGGTAATGAGTTACTCATATAAGATGACGTTTATCAGTCGCGTAAGTATCGTGTGTGAGAATCATGAAACCAAAGCATTCAATTAGACTATCTCCTTTAATTAACTTTAAGAAAGATATCACGTTACAAAAAAAACTCTTTAAAACAATTGCGTATTAAAGAGCCTCAATTCGCAAACAAACTCCCCCCTCCTAAACAAATATCACTATTTAACATGCTCGATGATATTTTTCGTCGTCAAATTTTTATTTTCTAAATCGAATTTTTTGTATTAAATGCTGCTCTTTTGCGAGACAGGTACGAGACGTTTCTCAGAATGTTTGTCGGAAATCGAATCTGATTATGAATCATTCTTACCTAATAATAGCGTCATCACTGGTTGCTGCATTAAATTTGACATTAATTCACTTTGCCGGAGACGTTGTACTCTTCGATATCACATGCTATGTGACGAGCGTGTACATGGGCGAGTTCGAAGACGGGTCACTCGAACAATTGAGAGTAGCGATTATCCGCACAATCTGT